TCACAGCTCTCTGAAAACACAATGGATTTCATGTTTTGAAGGTACCAAACCTTAGATAATGTAGATAATGAAATGGGGAACATCTTTGCTTCACATTATTATTATGTAAAAGTCGATAATTACGCCACAATTACGCCACAAACAGGGACGGACATTAGGATTTTCAGATTTTTCAGTTTTGAGATAACTAACTGAAGGAAGCCAGTAAAATATAGCAACATTAAGCACGCTTCCTGGCTTTCCAATGCCCAAGGAAACAGTTCCCTCTTTAACAGGTCAGAGTCTCCGTTCTCTTTTAGGTCTACAGTCAAAAGAGTTGGTGTTCTGGAATTTGAAGGATCTAATCTCTCCAGCAGCCTGTCCTTTGCTGATCTTGGCTGTATGCCTTCTGTTTGTTTTTCTGCAGTTTGTGTCAGCTGCATTGAATCAGCCAAATTAGAGCCAGCATTTCACATTAACTAACATTTACTTTCTTGGTAATTCTATCTCAGAAACACTGTAATGGGCGATCCAGTTGGCGTCCAAAGAAACAGGATAAGTAAAGGTAGCCACGGGGTGTATATGGGGAAGTCTGAAGACCGCCAGTATTGCCCAGGAGACAATCCTAGTTATTCTTCTTCTTCTTATTATTATTATTATTTGTACAATTTTTGTGACAGCTCTCCTGACCTAACCACTTGGCCGATTTTCATGAAACTTTCAGGGGTGATAGCCTGTGTGCTGAAATTGATACATAGTCGAAAAAATCCAGACTTCCGGCTTCCAGTAAGGGCAGAGAACCCAAAATGTCAAAATATTTCAAACTTTTTCAACCTCTATATCTCCAATACTGTTAGAGATAAATTGACCAAATTGTCACTCAATGTAGACAACATCATTCCCCATCGATTCAACCCATAGCGGAAGTTTCGCGGCAGAATAAATTTTCCGCAATTTTGAAAAAAACTGAAATTTTTGCCGATTTCCTCGTTTTGACGGTGCCTGTATTTAAAAATCTTCTTCTTCAGAACGGCATATAGTACAATCGCGTTCGATATATCATTTTAAAACCCATACTCCGGACTACTTAAACCCTTCAAGGCATATGGATATCTTGAATAGTTTAAGAGTTATCGCCCTTGGAAGTCAGTGAATTTTTTAAGACGCATTTTCATAGGGTTAAGAACAAGAGTCATCAGAAGATGACATATCCCCCCGGCCCCAACATCTTTGAAAGAACAAAATCTGACAGTTACTTAAAGTCCAGCTTGATTTTAGACTAAGTGCAAATCGTTTCCATGGAAATCATGAAAAAAATAAATGACAAAAATCTGCAAATAGCAAAAGGCACCACTTTGGGATCTGCCTCACATATCTGCCAAGTTTTGCTGAAAGATATTAAGAAGTTTTCGCGTTGTGCTCCGGAAACAAAACCCATCCCTTCCTTTTTGAGACTAAGTTCGAATCATTTCCACGGAAACTGAGAAAATAATAAATCACAAATACCTGCAAATAGCAAAAGGCATCACTTCAATATCTGCCTCACATATCTGCCAAGTTTTGCTGAAAGATATAGAGAGGTTTTTGAGTTGTGCTCCGGAAACGAAAGCCCACCCTCACTTTTGGGATTAAGTCCGAATCGTTTCCATGGAAACGGGAAAAATAAAATGCCAAAATCTGCAAATAGCAAAGGCACAACTTTAGGATCTGTTTGATATATCTACCAAGTTTTGTTGAAAAAAATATTATATGGCACCACTTAAGGTTTTTTGAGTTGTGCTCCTCGAAACTAAAGCAATCCCTTACTTTTGAGACTAAGTTACCAAAATGTTTCCATGGAAACCGGGAAAAATAAAAATGCCAAAAATCGGCAAATAGCAAAAGGCACCACTTAAGGTTCTGTTTCATACATCTACCAAGTTTTGTTGAAAAATATTGAACGGTTCTTGAGTTATGCTCCGGAAACGAAGCCCACCCCTCACTTTTGGGACTAAGTCCGAATCGTTTCCATGGAAACCGGGAAAAATAAAAATGCCAAAAATCTGTGAAATGCAAAAGGCACCACTTTAGGATCTGTTTGATATATCTACCAAGTTTTGTTGAAAAATATTGAACAGTTCTTGAGTTATGCTCCGGAAACGAAGCCCACCCTTCTTTAAGACTAAGTTATTGCCCCTGGAAGTTGGTCAATTTTTGGCAAAACGCATTTTTATAGGGGTCACAGCTCTGCGAAAACACAATGGATTTCCTTTTTGAAGACACCAAACTGTAGATAATGAAATGTGGAACATTTTTGCTTCACATTATTATTATGTGAAAGTCATTACATTAGGATTTTCGCATTTTGACGGTGCTGTGATTTTGTCAGTTGTGAGAAATCTAACTGAAGGAAGCGGCGATTGTTGCTAGATTTTACTGTCGCTTCCTTCAGTTAGTTATCTCATCTCACAAGGAAGCGACAGTAAAATCTAGCCACAATCGCCGCTTCCTGGTTTTCAAGTGTCCACAGAAATAGTTCCCTCTTTAACAGGTCGTTACTCCGTTGCGAGATAGAGTTCAGCTATATAAGTGAGTGAGTGAGTTTAGCCTTAACGACGGGCCACTATCAGTTCTGTTGTCAAGTGACGTCATTAATTAACGGATCGCCAGTGAAGAGTTAACCACGCCCCCAAAAGAAAGGGAGATAACTCTCAAAAGGTCCGACAACATCGCTGTCAAAACCAACTGTCAAAATGGCAGTCGTGATATCGTTTAGAGACATTCCCAATGATATTGGCCCGAAATATTTGCCTTATGAACCTACTTTGCGGCAAAAACAACGTCGAGTGGCTTTTAGTTCGGCCTCATACCTTCATTCCGTTAGTTTCCATTCATGTTGTGATAATATCGTGTCGATTTGCGGGAGGATTTATAGAAGTCAACGGAAAACCGAAGCTCCTCATGTAATCAACTTGTCCCTTGACAAAATTCACAAATCGTTCACTGACGCCCATTGTAGCTGCAAATGTGGGTGAGTAGTACACGAAATAACTTCGGGTGCCTTTCCAATTTATGGCATAAATCTGTTGGGGTTTTATAAGCGGCATATATAGATATCAAATCAATTACACGTCTGTGTGCTGGCCGTTTCAGTTGTTGACAATGAAACCCATGTTATCCCATATAATTACGTTAAATTTCTATCATCGTGAAAGAAACAGATTCTGTAATAAATGTAAGAGGTAAATGTAATATCTGTTGTAAGGCATTGCGGGAATAAAACCATGTAAATGTATTTTCTTCTCAAATATATTATATATTCCTGCTGTCAATCACAGTTCTGTAACAGATTTATTCACCCTATTCTCTTCAGTGCAAGTGGAAAGTGTTCCCATGTACTGGCACTTGTCCTGATACTGGAAGGCTGGAAGATATCAGGCTATCAAGCCATTCCTTCACAGCCCTCTTCCACTAGCCTGCCTCAGCAGTGGGATAAACCAAGGGGACCAAAGATTGAATCTGAAGCAGTGTCACAGATAATTATTGCCAGGCCTGGAAATCTCAATAGGAAAAGGAGACCTGTGATGGCCACATTCAATGACAACAGGTGATGTTATTATATACTTAAAGTTTTATTTCAGATTCTGAACTTGTTTTATGAAAATGATGTATCATAATGCAAGCATTACCTATATGACATTTTTACTCCATGATCATCAGATATTTCCAAGGTAGAAAATACTCATCACAGTTTAGAAAGCAATATCAGATGACTATTGAGCAGTTGTTTGCATAAATATTACAGTTCAGTTAAGTTAACAAGGAACAAGAGCACGTACAAAATATTCATTGACATTTCAAGTTATACACAAATACAATATTTGTGACTAATACTTTTTGTACTTGCAGGAAAGTTCAAATACAGGAGTCGGACATGTCTCTGCTGCACCATATGAAGAGATTCCCTATTTCATACCTGACAGATACATGTTCCAGCACCAGTCAGACAGTTGACACACCAATAGGTCCTCAGATTGTTGGATCAACTCTTGGACATCAAGTAATTAATCTTTATCTTGAATTAAATATGGCATAAAATTGGTCAAGAAACAGCACACAAACCAAATTTGATTTACTGAGGAAAACAAACTTAAATGCAATTTTTTACCAACAATTTTGATTTTTTTTACCCTTCCAATGGCATTTTCGACCACCACTGTGTGTTGCAATTTTCACTGTTTCTGCCACATCAGACACACACATCTGACCTATACCTGGTGCAAAAGGGGGAATGTTGAGGCGTAATCCAGTGGCCCTTATTTCCTTTTCAATATTAAAGCCCTTGTCTGCCATCAGACCATCTCCCACTTTAAGTTTCCCACACTTAACCATTTCTCTGAGGAGGGACAGATAACCACTTTTTCAGTTAATTCTTTTGTCTGATATCGCCCCCAGAAAACAGCATTGATATGAATGTAATTGAACCTCTTGGGTCCACACCAATGAGACCTTTCAGGGTAGTACTTGATTTGTAATCTGAATATGCTTGACTTTGCCTTGTCAGTGAAGAGGGTCTCTGAATTTTTATTTCTGTTCCATCAATGATACTGAAAGTGTTTGGAAATTCCTGGCGAAATTTTGAAGGCATATGTTGCTGCAAAACATCATGGTGAGGCCAAATTGACACAGATCCAAACCTGTAATATAAGTAATTTATCCAATTTGAAAACGCAGTACTGCAATCTTGGGGTGATATCAGAAACAACTTTGAGAGATGTTTTAAATCAAAATTCTGTCTAAGTTTAATCAGAACAAGCAAAAAGCTGGTCTTCAAGACCCATACACTTCAAACTGCTAACTGTTCTGGTAAATTCAAAAGGTTCATCATCAGCATTGCCAGGGACAACAAATTTAAATATTTTCGGAAACTGTTCGTAGGGAAATCCTGTGTAATACTTGTAATCTTTTTTCTCTGTATTTTTACAAAAAGAATACACATCATGCTTAACATTTTTAGCACTAATTTTGGTGTTGATCTGCTCGGCACGCATGAGCTCCTCCTTTTCTAGGATCAGTTTGGCCATATCTTCTTTGAGTTGCTTGTTCTCTGCAGCTAGAGCCAGCATATCAAGTGGCAGAGGACCTGTAAAAGCAATTACAACTGTTTCAAGCAATAATACATTCTACAGAGAAGAAATGATCTGGCTAGTTTAGGGCACCAAACTCATTATTAGACCTGAAACAGACTTACCTATTATCAATCTGACTTGTTGTAATGTTTAAAAAATGCTTTGCACACAAAAAAAATAAGTTAAGAATGAACACATAGCACCCACAACATACTTGTTTCAATTTGAGATTTAAGAAGAAAAACAGCCTTATTACCTCCCTTGTATAAAACTAAGTGTGAATAAACTGGCTTCTTCTCTTTACAGGCACCCTTAATTAGACCAATAGTGGTTCCAAAGATGGAGGACAGGTGCGGAGATGTCACATTTCCAAAAGATGACAACTTGCCCGAACTGGATTCAATTGCAACTTTAAAACATCAGTGGAAAGATTTAGAACTTTCAGTTGCCGAGTCCCATAATTTAGAAAAAAATACAAGATCTCAAAGCAAGTCTGATTTGTGGTACAAAGCAAGGAAAGGGCTTATAAAAAACAAATCAATGACACATTTATCAGAAACACCTTTGACAAAGAGAAATTTTCCTCCAATCCAACAACTTATGGGAATTCTAATGAGAAAATAGCTAAACAAATGTACATGAAAAAAACTCAAAATCATCTTCATGACATTGGCTTTGTTGTAAACCCATCTATTCCATTTATAGGAGCCACCCCTGATGCTATAGTGTGTGACACTTCTGTTTCTGGTATTGTGGAAATTAAGTGTCCTTATGCTGTAAGGGACTTGACCATTAATGAAGCCTCCTGTATGACTGGTTTCTTTTTGAAAAAAGAAGGAAAATATTACAACTTGAAGAGAGGTGATAGGCATTGGTATCAGGTACAGGGCCAACTACTTGTAACTGGGGCACCATTTTGTGACTTTGTAACCTACACCAGACAAGACTTTAACATTGAACGGATATATCCAGACAGGAATACCTTCAGGACTCTGCTTGAAACTCTGTCACAAACACATGTCAATCACTTCAAACCATACTTTGCAAGGAAACAAACTTCATAAAAAAATACCCATGGTGTCACTTTGTTGGACAAGAATATCAGATTCCTGCTGCATGGTTGTAGGCTCTGGATGTTCCATATCCATCTGATTTGGTGAATCAGAAATATCTGTATCATGATTACATCTGAAAAAGAAGATGAAGACCAAATTATCTTATACCTGAACCTCAAATGTATTACAGCCTTTAAATGGTTACCATCTTTGTCTATTTCCTATAACTTCTTGATTACCTATCAGGACTATTTATGCCTGGATTAACTTTTCTAATATATGTGTTTATTGCTATTACAATTGAGCGATAAATAACTTTTGGCTTCACTTGTTAAGTGCCCACAGTTGACATCATATGACTGTTGTTCTTTCACATGTAATATTGCCATCTGCTTCCTAGTTTTATTCGTCTCCCAGCTGATGAAGGAGTAAGAATATATTCTGAAACACTGTGCCCGTCAGAGAAATGACAAGTATGAATGGACTAGTTGTATGTGGATATTGGACCATCTGATTCATACATTATCTCTATATTTGAGAAGTCATCTTTTCTGTATGAAATATTAGCAATCTCTGGATAGGGGACTAATGGCTGTGTCTGGCCATGCCATGTAAAAACATCTATAAATATGTAAATTAATGTTGTATTTAAACATATTTAAAAGAACCACTGTCGTGGCTGATCTCAGTGGTTACAGCAAATGTCCATGTTGATGTATTAATATTTATGATGGATTGTAATGAATACTTTGGATCCTTCAGAGTTATTGTGTCTTATCACTCAATATTATGGGACCTGGGTGAAACACAGTTTTGTCTGGAGCAATTAGATTTTTATGTCAATATGCACCTGTTGCAGGTGATATCAGTGCCTTCATCATGCTTATATGAATAGAACTTGAGTATGATTGTGATCTTGTGATGCATGTGATACTTCTGTCTTTTCGTAACTACAAAGGATCTAAATGTGTGACATTACCTTTACTAACTTTTCTGTGATACTCTCAGAATAAACAAGGATTTGTTTGATTATTATGTTTCAATGTTTTGTTGTGTTTTGTGAGCAGTAAGTATAAAAGCAGCAATGTTTTACCTGTGTGTTTCAAGAAGAACTTTCCTTTTTCTGTCGCCCATAAATGGCAAGCGTGGTTTGGGTCGTGGTCTTACTGTCTTTGGATTTTCATTTTGTTCATGAGGTAGTGCAGACGCAGGGTCCGGAAATGTCTTGGAGGGTTTTCCATCAACAAAGTGCTGTAAAAAAGCTCGCATTTATTAGTCGATAGAAACGACGAAAAACAACATGGATGTATCTGAAATCGTATGCTCAAACACAGACATCGTCTGTCCTTGACATACCACGCGGTGAAACATTAGTAACTTAATCAGTGAAAATCGGTGTAAACTGGTTATATAACAACTAAAAAGCACTGAAAGTCTACCAATTCAAAGATTTCTAAATTTACATTAACTTCAACACTGGTTAAGATGTTATTCAATTTTAGTTTCCACACCTTTGTACATACGAAGAAATGTTTTCCTCGGCTGTGGTCACGAAGTATCTCCATGTTCAGTTGATACTTGGGGCGACCACACAAACGTATCCATCGTTGACATTTGTCAAAATTTCTGGCAGGCTTGGGAAATGGAATAAAGGTGATACCACCAGCAAGTCGTTCCGGGTACCGCGTGTCCGAGTTGCAGGTACCCCAGCTACACCTTTTCACCATGATCAAAACGTTGACTGTAAACGTCGATTTATTTTTAAAAAGTCCGCCAGACCGCTGATGTCGGACAAAATGTAAGCTGGGCCCCGTCTCGCATATCGCAATAGCTTTGTCGAACGTTAGCGCGCGCAAAGGGAGCCGGGAACCAGCTTAGGACAAAATGGTGGTCAGCTGTCAGCTGACGGCAACGCGATGCGGATTGAATAATTTGACGTTTCTCATTGGTCATGTCATTTGTTTGATTGACAGGTGGCGATACGTTAATTGGCTTTCGACTGGCAGATATTCTGGGTCAAACAAGTCAAGGCAACCCGAATTCCCGCTTTAAATAGCGGTAATATTGGCTTTCTTGTTGATGCTAACCTTAACAATTGCACTATTAAGGCTGTTGATGGACCAAAACCGAACACTGACATAGTTTGACGTGTTGCAGGCTATGGTCTTGTCAAAGGCCAAGGTCGAATATTGTCACTTTCTGATGTGACGTCACTTGAATTGTTCGATGACGGAATTGCATGCGGGCAGTCAACCCCGTCAGAAGTTGATTTGGGTAAACTTACAGTCAAATTCCTTCATTCTACCATGAATCAAGAAAATACTAGATTCTTATTGGTTGTTCAGAAAAATCAGACGGCATCAATTGTGGATTGACGCTCATCTGATTGTAAGGCCGCTTCACCGCGCTATTAACGAATCTTATTGTGTTTGGATTAAAAATGATTTTGATTTCATTGCGCTTCACTGCGCTTTTGCATAGAACGCTGCCGCACTACTTCAGCTTTGACCACCAAAATGACTAATATCAACACAACAGTCGTGATGGAAATGCTGATAAAACATTTATTTAAACTCGAAAATACAATTATATGATTTCACTACAATTATGAGGGAACCTCACTATCATATTACCTTCTATTATAAAAATATTCAAACTCAATTACAATACACAGCCCCAAAGATAAACAAAACAATATCTAACATATAAATCAGAAAGCCTTGTAAAAATACATCCCTATCTATGCAAAAATATGCAGCAAAAACATTAGTAAACATTTACCTACCTGGTAAATGGTATATTTAATTCCGTTTAGAATGGGAAATTTCCAAGATAGATCTAACGGTCTGGCGAAACACCACATTTATGCCACGCCATAGATCATAATTCATCATATCCCGTTGGCGTTGCATCGTTCACAAAATAATTCTGCTCTCTGCCAGCTTCCCCTGCAAGGTTGTCACTGTAATGTTCATCTACTTTGGAAATCGCTTGGACACAGTCCAGTCCCAAACGACGAAAACAAAGTTCCAAGGAATCGCTACAAGTTAGTCGCATGTACACTAAGCAGCAGCACTGTCACCTGTTGTCGTACGCCGGGGTGGAGGCAGTACGTGAAATCATGATCGGCCGGTCATAAAAATCAACAGTCTTTGATGAGTAACAGGTCGTAGGTTGATCAGGAAAGGATTCTATTCTTCGATTCTGCAGGGTTCAGATTCGACAGTCAGTCAAGTATTGTCCACTGTCACTTCAAATTTCAACCTTCGCAAAATGTAAACACTGGCTTGTCCGCCATTTCAAACTGTTGCGTAACTGTCTACTTCGAAGAAAAATAAGTAGGTCAGACGATTCCATTATAGTGTGGGGCTACAGTTTCACGGCACACAAAACAATTAGGCTGATTTTAGTCGTGTGGAGATGGGATGAAAAAACACAAGATCTTGGGTATTACATAATTGCATTGAATAAACAGTAGTTTGATTTTTTGGACAGAATATTGTTATGTTGTAATGTTAAAAAATACGAACGGCACCTACCGCCCCCTTCACAGACGAGTTCAATTCTGCCTCTCGTCCCATGCCGGATTACGCAGTGTCTTCCCGCAGAGCGAGGAAGTTCGATTTTAAATGGGTCATGAGGTTTCAATTCCAATTGAAATTTAGTCGCCATCAATTCAGTAAAACATGTCTCTGATTTTCAAACACACTAGGGTTATCTCCCTAATTGTTTCCTTTTCAATTCAACACAAATTCCATGTATTTTAGCAATAATGGTAATGCTATTTTGAGGGCATTACCATTACCATTACCATTTAACCTCGGTCTTTTTCCTTCGTCGGGCAGTTAATGGAAGACCTCGGGCTTCTGCAAATGATAATGCCCCTCAAAATAGCATTACCCTTATAATATTTACCGGATTAGAACATTAGTCAGTGAGTGAGTGAGTAAGTTAATATTTAGCGTCATATCGGCAATAATTCAGCCGTATCGTGATGATATAGAACGTAAAAATCTGTTAGGACAGTAAAAATACTAGAGTATCGCAGATATATATTTAAAACTGGTACGCTATCGTAAAATTAAATCACTATAGACAGAACACATATAAACACGTGATATAGATCACCTACACTTGAAGGTAGATCACCATACTAGGGACATGGGGACTTACAGTACATTTGCTACCTGCATGGACCCTAGCTGGATTTACACCATCCCTTCAGTCGCTGGCGATTGTGCTGAGTTTTAGCCATGTTTGAAAATAATAAATATTCTATGATTAAAAGTTTGGTAGAGCTAAAGTGACCTTAAAGTTTTGGGACTTACGTACCCTCCTCAGGGGACAATAATTTTACGCTACTTTAACCCTCACTATCAATCGCAGTTGCTAATTTATACTACCATGTTTAAAGTACCAATTATCTATTTGCAAAACATATTCAAAATTTATATAATAATTCTATTTCCTTTAAAAATTCAATTATTATATGATAATAAACATTATAAGAAAGATCCGTTACTGTTTGACATTGAAATATTTATCCCTTTGTGATGGCAAAATCCATACAGTCATTAGTTAAAGTATAAAGTTAAATGATAATGTCAAACCCTAAGAAAATAGATCCTCCCAAACCCATGTTTATGGTTAGAGGAGACTAAATGGAAGATCTCGCCACTCAAGGTAACGTGGTTGACGATAGATCACCGTTTCCTAATTTCGTGGATCGAAGTTCATAACAAGACCATATGAAGACTTCAATACAACAGAGATTGTTGAACCCCTTGAGACACTGCGCCACATCAAATACTACTATTAAACGTACATAATGTGAAAGTCAAGGAATTAATCTCAATAAGACGATTATTATTAACTTGATTATTTACATAATTGTTTGAATAATGCTGAATGGGGCGTTATCAAGCAACAACACAAATATTGTACAGCCTTAGCCCCAAGTATCTACAATTGTTTGATGACCAATCTGTAGTGAAAACTTACCTGTTCACTGAAGAGACTTCTAAATGCGTGTGTTCGCAATGGGCAGTTAACAGTAAATGCCCCTTAACATACATGGACATAAACGTGTATTGTGACAGTATTGACGTATATATTCATGGTAAGTAGCAGGTGACACACGAATAATTGATGATGACTACGACACGTTTTGTTTTCTTCACGCATGTGACGTTCAGAGTTTATTCTTGCTCCTTCACCAGGTGAATATGAAGGAGAAAGAATTACCTCTGAAAAGTCGTATAAAGAATAATAAGAAGCTATCCATGTTACGTGTCATGTATATATTTTCGTCCAATTGCTATATGCCCTTCAAGAACTTCAGTTATGCTGATATTGTGTAAGCTCTCGGTCACGGTGCTCCTTCCTCTACTACTATATAGCCTGGCAGAGAAGTACCCCTTGGGAATCGAACCCGGGTCTTCGGCGAGACAAGAGAACGCTTTAACCACTAGGCTACCCTATCGCCCCGATTAAGGAAGATAGACAAGTGACCACCACACATGACCAATACAGTTGATATCACTCATGAAAGATGAGCCGTGAACATCCATGTTAGAAATGATCTCCAGTAATCCATGCTTGTCGCGAGAGGCGACTCACGGGTTTCGGTGGTCAGGCTAGCTGATTTGGTTGACACATGTCATCGTATCCCAATTGCGTAGATCGACGCTCATGATGTCGATCACTGGATTATCTGGTCGAGACTCGATTATTTACAGACCGCCGCCATATGGCTGGAATATTGCTGAGTGCGGCGTAAAACTAAGCTCACTCTCTCCATGTGTTTCCCAGTATGCAACGACGCTGCAAGTTGCTCCATCCACAGATTGCCGGGTTAGAATTGATCTTCAGCAACCCATATACTTGTAAGAGGCTATTAACGGGATCCGGCTATGCTTGTTGTTTATTTACATACCGCCGCAGGCATTAAAGGACCAACCAGCCTTCCAACTATTTTAATCGCGATGAACATACTTCACTACACTGGATACAATAACATCAACGCTGCATGTTTTAAATGGTTTTCTCACACAAAACAACACACATATTGTTATTATTTCAGCAGAGCTACAGCTCACTTAAAATGTTAATATCGTGTGAATAATTACAATCGTCAGAAATATACTACATGTTCATAAAAAACAATGTACAATTTCTGCCTTAAAAACACCTTTAAGTTGGTGTTTCTAAACAGTACCCGCTGCATAGAATGCACAATGCTACACAAGCACAAAGCAGGCTATCTGTTCCCCGTCGTTTATCAACAGATTATTTCCGAACCAAATCTCAGGAAACAATCCGATGACCAGTATCAGTTTACTGGCGTTTACTATACATATACATGTACGTCGTATGTTATATTGTCTGTTATTCACAATAGGTGAATTTCGGTCACTTTATCTATGATCACATTTTCCACTAATGTAATATAATCAATTCATTTCCAATAATCTTTCAATCATGATTTGTATGTGTGCAGATTATTTAATAAACACTCTTTTCTGCATTCCCCCAGAGACCGGAGTATTTATATCAACAGCATTTCTTAAACATACTTGCACTATTTATATCTTATAAACATCCTTCTAACAGCCTTATGGGACTATTTGGGTCTATTTCTAAGCCTTTTCTGAAATATATCTTTCCAAGATGTAGTGAGTTTGTGTATTTTGACACATCAACAAACGCATGTTCCATAAAATACAGCGTATGTTTGTGTCGCTTTCTGTCTCTTTGTTCATGAGGAGGAACGATACTTACACAGTATTTGGCAAAATAAATAGTCCTCGGTAAGAAGCATAATCTATTTTCTAAATGTTCCTGAACCGCTGGTCTGTGCCCACGCCTCTTATCATTAAAGGTTTAATGTACCAGGTACAGTGGAACAGCAAACGGTAATTATGTGGCGTGACTACTGCGCGTCCACTGCATGGTCATTGGTTGGTTG